TATAAAATTGTAACCCACAACCTAAAAGAAAAACTTTTTGTGATTACTCATATAAGAATAAAATGTATTTATATGCTAGCTAATACTTCTTTCTGCTTTTGAGTGGTACTCACCTATTTGTTCTGTTTGCAAAAGAAATTCTATTAAAACCTCAGAGAATTTACTGACAGCATCAACAGTATGTTTAGGCTATTTTACAAACTTGTTGCTAGCTCCTCAGTGGTGGAAAAACAGTTTGCAATGTTCTTTATCCTGAAGAAAAAAGTCATAGGTTTCCCTGCAAAGCAACAGAATAGTATTGTGGAGTTACTGTACTTGGAAATGTTTTCATTGCCATCATTTGAGATTGGTTGATTCACAGGTATTAATACAGATAAGAAGACTATTCATTAGTTTAGGTCAAGTCCCATCTCCCATCTTCAGGATCCTGCCTTTGTCCTGTTGCTCATCATCATCATCATCATCATCATCATCATCAGTTATGGAATTAACTTTCTCTTTAGAGAACAGTTACCTGCAACTTAAATAATAACATTCCTAAAGAAATTTGAAAGGAAAAAAAATGTTCATTTCTTTTTTATTCTTTTTTTTTTTTTAGACTGTTTTGCTCTATTGCATAGGCTGGAGCGCAGTGTCACGATCTTGGCTCACTGCAACCTCCAGCCTCCCAGGTTCAAGTGATTCTCATGCCTCAGTTTCCAGAGTAGCTGAGACTATAGGCACGTGCCATCACACCCAGCTAATTTTTATACTTTTGGTAGACACGGGGTTTCACACCATGTTGTTCAGGCTAGTCTTACACTCCTGACCTCAAGTGATCTGCCCACCTCGGCCTCCCAAAGTGCTGGGATTATTGGTGGGGGCCACTGCACCCAGCCAATTTCTTAATGAAGCTATATCTTAGGATAATGTACTACCTTGATATTCAAAGTACAATCTACATACCAGCAGTCAGCATTGCCCAGGAAAATGCAGAATGTCAGGCCCCATCCCACACCTCTGATTCAGAATTTGCATTTTAATAAGATCCCAGAGTGATTCACCTATATGTTAAAGATTGAGAAGCACTGACCTAGAGAAATGCATGTGGGGACTGGGAATCTGACAAGCAGTTACTGTTTTGAGTCACACAGTGATAGTAATGAGATATAATTGAAGTATGTACCGGACGTTTCCAGAGTCTAATATTAAGATAACCACCACCACAACAGAAACAATGAATTTTAAGTGGATATTTGGGAAATTAAATTTGTTTTTCCTTAAGCATTATTTATAAAATTGGCTCATTTTCATTTTTGTCATCATTGTTCACTGTAATGTCTGTAAGAGCATTCACTGTTATACTCATTCATGCAAGAAGGAAGGAAAGACAATGAATCCATGATAGTTATCTCATATTGGGAACAGCTTGGATTGAATCCTGCGTTGAGTCAGGACTCATTCGATGTAAGGTCTTCTAGGGATGGCCATATGGACCATCGTGTCTTCAGATTAGTTACAGAGAGCTGCCTGGTTGGAACTCCTACTTGGTAATCAGGATCCACCTCTTGAATAAGAAGGAACAGCTAAGTCACTGGAATTTGAAATACAAGAGTTCAACTACTTGTGAGAAGATATTTAATATCATGTTTCCCCAAACTACTGTTTGAAGAGAAAACTTGCCTACTACTGTCTGTGTCTTACTGGCTTTATAGTAGCAGATGTTAGTGGTTATGTTAAGGACAATTTCTGGGAGCTCTTGTCTCCATTTACTCCGACTGCCTCCTGTTCATCTTTAATCAGTCCTCTGTGTGTGTACGTGTGTGTGTGTGTGTGTGTGTGTGTGTGTGTGTGTCTATGCCTTGGCAGAAACTGTTAAAAGACAAGGTTTGAAGGTTATACTACATAAATGGAAATCATGGTGGTTTTTTAAGATGACAGTTTAGAAAATGGTAACAGTATGTAGTTGCTATCACACAAACAATATATCCCGTGATGCCAGAAGAACAATCCTTTCTAATTTAATCAATAATATTACTGCATGAAAAGTCTTGTTCTCAAATAGATATGTTTATCTGCATTGGAATTATTCTTCACAATTTTTGCATTCACTGCTTAGAAGCAATGATTCTTGACTATAGAGATTCTTTACTATGTAAAGATTGCTTTTGTTTTTTAATTTGTGGAAAATTAAGAAAACAATTAATTTTTCACAAATTGAGAAATCAGAAAATACTCTTGATATGATGTTAGTTTTTAAAGCAGACAATGTAAAAACCAATCAGGGATTATATTTTACTTGGGGAAGCAAAGAAAAAAAACAAAAATGAATGGAATCTAGTTCTCAAATCCACTAATTTAATGCACAATTATTTCATTTTCCCAGCCATGGAATGGGTAATAATGGTAAGGAACAAAAACATAAATATAAACAATGTTTTAGAAATTGATTTAACTTGCATTTTCTTAAAAACCATTTTTGTGATATTCTTGTCCATTCTTGTTGTTATATTCTTGTCATTTAATGTTGATGAAAATTTTCTATTAAATTACTCAAAAGTTACGGCCTATCAGGGTACTGAAACATGCTTAATACAAAAAGCAATAAGCAATAAGTCTTATTTTCCATGGATTTCCAACCCTATTTATATCATCTAAAATCACAACATATAGTAAGCAATTCTCTTTTGGGGGTGTGGGCTAATCCTCTGAGTTGTGTTTACACAGAACCCTCAATTTTAAAAACATTACTCTTTATTTCCATTTTTCTTGGAGTTATTTCTAATCTATTTATTTCAATGTTTTGTCATAGATGAGAGAAGATAAAATAAACTTTGGGTTCTGTTGATAGTGCTCATTAAAAGGAGAAACAAGAAAGAACAAGTAAATCAAGGTTTATCATTTTTCAGCTTTGAGTGGTTTCTATTTTCTAATCATGTCTCTAACATTGTTGTGGAAAGGTAATGGGGATTGTAGTAGAATATGTATTTTCAAAGGCTTATCAGCTGGGTGAATATTTTTGAAAAATCAAGTGCATATACACGTGTTGCCATGAGTAAACAGACTGTATTATTTAAGCATTAGGAAGAAATGTCCAGTGGTATTTCAGTTAAAGTCAATCCTTGTTCTGAGCTTATGTATGAATTCAGTGGAACAACTGATTATACGGAACTTTTTGTTATGGTGGTTGTTGATTGCAGCAACTTCCCATTTAATTGAGTTTAAAAAAACTGAAAAGGGGTATGTCAATATAGCCAACAGAATCATATATTTTTTCAAATTCTGAAAAGCATGGCACTCTGCATGGCAAGGTAGAACAAAGACTGCATTTGCTTTTTGAGCTTTTTAAATCTTCTATTTTATCAATTTTCTGTGGATGTTTACAAGATACCAAAGTAAATGATTGAAAAGGAAAATAGTATCATTATTAATTTACATGATACAACTTGTTAAGCTAATTCATTGTCTAATTTGTCCAGTAGCATTTGTGTAGATTAGGCACAATTTGTGTATGTACACATATTATTACATTCCTCAAAGTGTTTCTAAATAGTGTGTTTTGGGTTACTTTGTAGTGTTAACATGTATGTAAACAGAATATAATAAGTCAGTTTGCCAATGAGAAAATATTCATTGTGTATTACGTTTTTAAAATTGAGTTTCTTTTTCCAGCAGGACAATCAGAGACATCTAAAAATAGTATTTTAAATAAGCTATTTGAAGCAGGAGCCGCTACAACTACAAAATACAGCAATTAAATAGTCACACCTTTTATTCTATTCCTATTCAGTAAGCTATAGACATATTTATTTCTTCCCTAACATAACCTAAAAAGGAAAAGAAAAAAATTCTTAAACCCCTAGCCTATTTTTAAAATAAAACGACACAGTAGGAATGAAATGAAAGACAATTCAATAGCCTTTATAGCCATAGAGTGATACAATCTCAAATGGTTTTACTCTTTAAATTATTCAGGATTTATAAATTTCTGCCGCCATAATATTTTTTTACAAGTGGAATAAAAATGGCATTTTGCTCACGTAGATCTAGCTGATCCCTGGGTGGCTGATTCTAGAAAAGCAACAGGCTTTTCCCCGTCTTACAAGAAGCAACAGTTAGAAACTCTAAGTAGAAAACTCCTACACACAGTGGACGGAACCAGCCGACAGAGAAAGTGGCACCTTTTTCAGTTCATTTTGCAACAGCTTCCAAAAAGAGAAGGAAAATGTATATAAAGGAATGTTGACCCCTTTGAAATGAAAGGACTATGCTGCGTTACTGTCGCCCCCTCTCCCTTCCAACGTCCCTTAAATTATCAGGCTTTTTAGGCATGCTTAGGTTTCTAGAGTAAGGTGAAGCAATAGGACTTGATTTATTTTGTTTCAACTTAAATTTGCAAGATGCAGTAAGACAAATTCATAACCTCCCGCAAGGGAACAATACAAGCCTACCCAGGCTCGGGCACTTTTCCTACTAGCAAGCATGGACTGTTGTCTTAGCCTGTTGCTCCTGCCACCTGGTGTGCCTGAACACTTTGAAACCCCGACTGTGCTCTTGGTGGCAGGCCCTTGGTGCGTCGGGGCTTGCTGACTGACTGAGAGGGCCATGGGGATTGCCCGGGCTGCGCCTGGGGAGGCGATGGCTGCCGACCACCGGTCCGGGGACCCTAGTGCAGGCCGCCCAGCTGCCGGCAGATGGTGCCCTCCTCATCCGAACACGCAGGGAAACCCAGCTAAAGTAACGCTCAGACTCCGCCCCAGCCGATCCACGGCGCAACAGTCACTCGTCCTTCCCAAAATAGTGCAGAGCACGTTTCCCCTGGAACACCGCAGTAGCCCGTGTGTGTCGAAATTACAAACCAGGAGCGACCGGGTGTGTGTGCCGGAGTGGGGAGCGCGTGCGGAGTGGGACCCCAGGGCCCAGGGGCGAGGTGACCGCCAGTGAAACGCAGAGGGCAAAGGGACCGGTTCATTTCCCATCTGCGTAAGCTGGCCCGCCGAGCCCGTCGGGAGGCCACTCACCATATTCACTTCGGAGACCATGTCTATGCTGGCGACATCGATCCGCATCCCAACGTCCACGGGGGGCCCTGCCAGGGAGGTGGGCCACATTAGCGACAGATTCTCTCAGTGACAGCAGGCTGGGGAGGGTCTGGGGACTTCCCAGCCCTTACTCCATTCTGAACGGGCTCCCTCCCTGCTCCCCCCACCCCACCCCTTTCAGGGGACAGCCTGGGAAAACAGGTGTGGGCACACGTATGATGCAGTGACTATGCAGAGGGTGTGTCGGCCCGGGAGAAGGTCGCCTCCGCCTGAGGATTCATCCACCTGAGACTGGGGATCCGGTGTGTGTGTGAGTGTGTGTGTGTGTGGGGGGGGTGTGTGTGTCCAGGGCATAGTGCACGCTTACGAAAATGACATGCCCTTTTTTTTTCTTTTTCTTTTTTTTTTTTTTTTTTGACATTTATCTTTGACAGAAAAGGAGAACTAGGGATGGGTTACAGGTTGAAAAAAGATGAAGCGTTACCTCCGAAGTCCGGCCGCAAGCGAATGTCATATCCTTTGAGCAATCTGTCCACTGTCTCTTTCACGTATGACATGTTGCTGGGTTCATTGGTGCTGAGGGGAAGAAGTAGGGACCGTATTCAAAATGAGCACAAACTGTGAGCACATATAAAAAGATACAGGCACACCTACCCCCAAACAACAAGATACATGATCCAGCAGACACGTAAAAAGAAACATACCAAGAAAAAAAAGAGAGAGAGAGAGATTCAACAACAGCAGCTCACCTGTGTGCACAACAGACCATGGTAATCATCACAGGGAAAGAGAGAAGCCCCAAACTCTCTCGATTTTGTGCTGTCCACATTACTAACTCTGATTAAAGAATTGTCTTTTCTGCGAAGATTCAAGGAATGCAACTTAGTCGGCTGCTGGGCAGTAATTCCCGAATGGACCTGCGCATGCGCAGAGCGCGCTCACTACCAAAAGACACCTTGTGCCTTGCAAACAGTATTCCTAGCGGTAATAGGCAACAGATTTCAATTCCTCTAAAGTTCCTATTTGGGGTGCTCCGTGTCCTCCGGGTAGTCAGAGACAAGCCGCTGTTTCCACGCAGGGGATCCTACGAGCTTGTGTAAACGGAGTTTCCTTCATGCATTGGAGGTTACTATGTTGATTTCCTTTCTGCCCTCAACCTGATTTTGTTTTTGTTTTTTTGCTGGGCTCTCAGTGATCTGGCTAAGGCTGCCTGTGATTGGCATCTTTCATTGACAGTCATGGAGGTCCTAGACGGGGACTCTGGAGGCGGGTCTGTTGTTTTCTGGTAGCCTGTGGGGGTACCGGGCGGATGTGATCAGCGGGGGTTGAGGGTGGGGGTGACTGGGAGCAGGGAAGAGTGGAGAGAGAGGGAGCTGGAGAGTTACTAAAGGTATAGAGGCAACTCTATAAGACGTATTTGAGAACTCCAAAAATCAGTTGCCCTTGGGTGGCATCCTAGGACATTTGGCTTGGTGTAGACTTCTGTAACAGGCAGAGTAGGAGGGACAAGTCAACTTTTCTTCTAACCCACTTTTCTTCCCTGCCCTTGTCGTTTCTCATCCAGGTTGGGAAATGAGGGAAACAAAGGATCCAGCAGCAGTTCTGGGCAGGCAATCTTTTTTTCTAGGGTCATCTACGGCAAGCCCCACTTTCCTCCAGCTTCTGATAAGAAAAATCTCCTTCTTAAATTGACAGCATTTAAGGTGGTATTTGTGACCCCTAGCAGAACTCTGAAACATCCAGACAGTTTAACCTCTGTTCACCACTAGGTTGGGATTCTGCAGGAGCAAGCATTGTTTGAATTAAATCAAATTCAGTAACTTCGATTCTACAAATGTCATTGAGCACATGTTAGGCAGAAGGCCCTGGGCTAGGTGTTTGTTCTTTTTTTAAATAGTACATATTAAATTGTGTTGTGGGCATTCTGGGACTTATAACTGATTCAAAAAGAGTTCCTGACCTAGAGAAATTCACATGTAAGGGAAGGGATGGATACAAGTGTAAGTAAAGCCAGTGGTAATCCCTACTCCTATTATCGTCTGCTGCTTACTTTTTTGAGGGAAATAGGGGACAGTCTAAAAATTAGCTTCTAACTAGGATGGAAGTGTTGCAAGGTCAAGAAACTTATGCATGTTCTTAGTATTTCCTTACACAGGAGATACCAAACAAAAAAAATAGAAAAAAAATTATTCCATTACAATAACAACAAAAAATTCGAATGTACATAGGAATAACTGGGGAAAAAATACACACAAGAACTTTAGAGTGAAGTTATATAACATTATTTAAACACACAAAATATGACCTAGATAAATGGAAAATATACCATATGGGTAACTGGGAAGACTCAACATTGTAAGGATGTCAATTCTATCCAATGTAAGAAATATAACCAATTTGAATCAAAATTCCTACATTCTAAATGGAAATGAAGAAACTAATTCCAAAATTCAAATACAAGAATGAGGGGGTAAATAAAAGCCAAGAAAACTTGGAAGAAGAAGAAAAAAAAAAGAGAAGGAATATGGGGGCATTTGCCTTTGAGATATCAAGGCATTACTGAGCTATATAGAAATTGAATCACCTATGGCATGGAATTCATGTAGGGATAAAAAGCAAAAGAGTACAAGCAAATAAAGAGCACAGAAATACTCCTCTATTTTAAGAAAAGTAGGAAAAGATGAGCTATTCAATAAATACTGCAAGACAATTTATTATCCATAAGGGAAAAAAAGTAAATCTTTACATCATTACTTACACGACAATGTATTACAGGTAGATATGTAACTTTAATACAAAAAGCAAAACGTTCAAAACTTCAAACTATATAGGAGAATATCTTTATGACTGTGATAAAAGGAAAGATCTAAAGATGAACAAAGGTATAAATGATAAAAAAGATTATTGCGATAACTATGTTAAAATGTAACCTTCTTTAAATCCAAAGATTCTTCTGAAAAGTCAAGTTATACATAGAAAGAACATGTTTTCAGGAAATTTGACCATCAAAGGGTTTGTATAAAGAAATTACCAGAAAAAAAACTTCTAGAAGTAAAAAAAGATCAAAAGCTACTCTAAATAAGGAATTGCAAATTCAAGGAATTGTACACTATTTTAAACTAATCAGGTATGCAAAACTTAAGAATATTAAAAATTGGCTTTTAAAACTCCATATATTTTCAGTAGACAAAATTGATCTAAACACTTTGTACTGTTCTTTGGACATACTAGTAAAGTCAAAGATGCCCATGCCCTTTGGCCCAGAATTTCTACCACTCAGAATATACCCTAGTGATAAACTTATGCAGTGTAAGAATGTTTATGGCAGTGTTGTTTTTAGTAGTGCAACAATTTTTATTAATTGCAAATAAATAGGAATATAATCACAAATGTAATATAATAGTCAAAATAGTTGAACCTCTACGTGCTTCTACAAAGATAAATCCCAAGAGTAAAGCATTGAGCAAAAACAAAACAAGAGCAGGGTGAAGAATGATACAATGAGCCATGATAACATAAATTTTAAAACAGTTAAGTGTAAAACCAAGAATATATATTATGTACATATGCAGCACATATATATATATATAGGTGTGGGTGTGTTTGTGTATGTATATGTATGTATACATATATATGTATGTGTATATATATATATACACATACACAAACATACCCACACCCATATATATATATACACACACACACAGAATAGAGAACAAAAATAGGAAGGATACCACATTTTAGGGTTCAAATGAATCTACAATATTTTATCAAAAAAATTTCATTCCAATTAGCCACAACATGATATTCTCCATATATTTCTACTCTCCATATATTTCTAGATATTTGAAATATTTTACAGAAAGCTGATCAAAACCGATAACGAAGTGACAAACTAGGAGATATATTTGCAATTTATATTTTAAAATGTCTATGCAAGTCAATGAGAGAAATAAATGTCTAATAAATAATGAGCAAACAATTGTAACAAGAATTTCACCAAAGAATCCCTAATATTTGATAGCAGAGTAGGGTGACTGTAACTTTGTTAGAGTAGGGTAGGGTGACAGTAACTTAACTGTACATTTTAAAGTAACTTAAAGAGTATATTTGGATTGTTTTTAACTTCAAGGATAAATGCTTAAGGGGATGGATACACCATTCTTTATGATGTGCTTATTTCACAATGCATATCTATATCAAAACATCTCATGTACCCCATAAACATACACACCTACTATGTGCTTGCAAAACTTTAAAAAATAGAAAATTTTTTTAAAATAATTAAGTGACCAATAAATATATTGCAAAGTTTCAACCTCAATAGTAATCAAATGAATACAATTTTTAAAATAGATATGAAGTACCATTTTCACTTGTTGGTTTGCTAGTTTAAAATGGTTTAACATTAGGTAATCATGGAAGCTGTGGAGAAACACGATTTCATTTACTTTGGGGGAGTATAAATTGCCACAATCTATTTTAAGGATGATTTGTAATATTAATAGTAATATGATATGTCATTAGATGCATGTATTGGTGGCATTTGCCTTCTGTTCAATTAATCAGTTTTTCTGATTTAACCTAATATGATATAATTTTATTTCAATCACTCATTGTTAGTAGAGTATGAATTTTGATAAGGCAGCAACACCATTATTGCTTTTTAAGACATTTACATATCCTTTGTTATGTTTTCATACTTTTTCTAGATTAAATATAGTATTAATTTAATAAGATCTAAAAATCTCATGTTACTTTTATATTGCATTAAATATTCTAATTAACTTAAGAAGTAATTTTAACCTGTGTTAGCAGGAATGGTACCGCTTCACTTTTTGCATATCAATTTATCCTCTAGAGATATATCATTTTCTTTAAAAAAAAAGTCTTGTGTTTCAGATTATATTAATAACCAGCTATTTAATATATTTTTTAGCTATATAAGAATACATTTTTCACTTTGCATTTTTCAGCTCTTCTTATTTATGTATTATAGCAAGGACCTTTGAGGATAAAACTTACATCATGTAATAAGCCAAGTATATTTTTACCTCTTTTTATTTTTACTTCCTGTTATGCTATAACAATTTTTATATTTAAAAATTCATATTGCAATTTTTTCTAGATTTATTCTTATTGGAATGTCTTCTCAAGTTATTATTTATAAATTTTTACTATTTGATAAATTATGGTGATATAAGGATATTCATTGCTCATTTCAAGTAGAATTCTATCCAAATAAATACGATATTTTGTTTTAAAATGTATGCTCTGTCTTACTAATAAAGAGATGTTCTAAGCCATTGCTTTTATTAAAATGTTGCCATTGCATTAATAAGAATAATTAACATTTTAATAGGCTTATTATTTATCAGCACTATTTTAAACACTTGACGTATCTAGTGTTCATAACATCTTAAGAGGTAGGGATATATATAATCAGTTCTGTTTTAAAGATGAAGACACTTAAACACAGAAAGTAACTTATCCAAGGTCAAACAAAAAATGAGAGACAAAATTCAAATTCAAATAGTCTAATGAAAGTTTACATTCTTTTCTAGTACATTATTAATTATGAAAAATGTTGCCAGCATAAAATATATTTTTAAACTCTACTGAGATCTTTAAATGTTTTTTGCAACTTCTCATGTATAATTAAATGCATTTTGGGTTTAACATATGTTAAGAGTGATTTATATTTTAGAAAAAGCCCAAATTATGTAAAGAATTTTTATTTGAGTATAGCAGACCATGCTATCCAAGTAGAATCTTATGAAGGGTACTCTGAAAATCCTGATTTGTAGTGTTGTGCCCTCTAGTTGGTCCCTGTAATGCTGTGGGTCAGGAAAAGTCACAGAGAATGATGACTATTAAGCCTGTCCTCAGTAATATATTACTGTAGAGCATCATCTAAAAAGAGTTGCCATTCATATCTGTGTTAATGTGTTTTATATATTTTACAGTAAAATAGATTTTACTGTTTACTGATGTTGTTTAGTAGAAACTATAATTTTTATCTTCTTTTATAAAATAAATATTTGGTGCCTGATATTAACTGGAGAACAAAACAACCAACCAGGTGATTATCCGGTGAACACTTTCCAGCTAAACATTATAACCTTTGGGCTAATTCATTAATGGTGAGTTTATTTAAAAATATTTTTAGAACTATGCAACAATAAGCGATACAAACTATTGGAGCAAGGGCACCCAAATCACCAATATATAATAATTTTAAAAAATGCTAGAAATGAGAAAAGGACTTTTTA